TGAACGTACGTGTGTATATATATATATATATATATATATATATATATATATATATATATGTGTGTGTGTGTGTGTGTGTGTAGTACATGCATAAAGCATACACTTACTAAGTAATCATTCAACTAAGAATTATATGTAGGCTAATTTCTATCTGATTTTAGGGGTATGATGTCAATTATATTCGTGATAGTAATTTAAGACCATGAGTTGAGTTTAATAAGATTGAAATTATGAGGGAAATTTATAAAATACAAATAAACTTAAAATAGTAAAACTTAATGTTCATTTTTCAACCCAATGATCAATTGTTTTGTCGAGCCCATTGTCAATTCAGAAATGTTTAAATTGAGAAGCTTATATTAAGACAAAATAGTATGTTATATTAATAAATAAATAACTCATTCAAATTAATTATATGGTACATATGTGATGAGCGTTATTCATTTGTATATATAAATAACACCCCTACTTTTTGTGAAGGGAGTTTTGGACTTTGAATATGTGATATATAGAATGGCTCGCTTAATCACATCTTACTTTTAATGACACATTTTTTTGTTGTTGTTGTTGTTGTTATTATTATTATTACTATAGCTCTAGCCCGCCAATGTTGAAAATTATTCAAGATTGAATGGTTATGTTAGGACTTTGTTTTTTGCAAACAGGACTTTGTTTTGTTTGTGTGTTTGTGTGTGTGTGTGTTTTTTTTTTTTTCTATACAACATCTAGTATTTTATTGCCTCTATCGGTGTTTAATCTCAAACATAAACAATCATAATAGTGGTTGTGTTTAACTAAAGATAACAATGGGCCAGAAATAGTTACATTCACCATTCAACACACCATTATACTTTCTCCACCCAGTTCACTCCTACTTGTAGTGGGTGGACAATTTCAAATTCCACATTATCCCACTGGATGCAGGTATGAATATCCACCGTTTATTATCTTATTAAAATATTTTAAATAATAATAATAATAATATTTAAATTATGTACACATAATAAAATTTACTTGTTAATATAGGAAAAAGTCCAAATGCGGCGAGGCCCTCCCGTGCGACGGTGCGGCGGTTTCATAATACACCAACAGTGTAAGGGAAATACACTACAATGAAATGCAAAAATACACCAAAAAATACATAACACACCTAAAAAAAAAAACACACCATATACCTCCCTACCACTAATGGTGTATTTCCGAACACTGTGTGATGCTTTTAGTCATACCTAATGGTGTGTTGTTGGTGATGCGTACCTAATTTGTGTGTGTTTTTGTGGTGCATTTACTGACGTTGGTGGTGTATATCTTGCTTAACTATTGGTGTATTCTGAAAACCGCCGCACGATCACATGGGAAGGGGTCGCCGCACCTGAACTAGCATATATATATATATATATATATATATATACACACACACACACTTATTACTTTATTAGTTTAGAACTAAAAATGGTAAAAATGGTAAAATGTTAACAAGAGTCATAACATCTGTTAGACTTAACTACATATTACTATATTAGTATTTACTCCGTATTATTTATACTAGCTAGCTATAATACACGCATTGCATGATTAAACTAGTGTTCAAACCATAAATAAGTATATTATCCTTTATTTATATATAATAAAGCTATATGGTTTGAGAAATAATTAATGTTACAATTAATGCCACAACATCCTTTATTATAAAAAAAAAAAAAAAACACAACATTTAAAAAATAAAATAGCTATATATTATATAATCATATAAAAAATATACTTTTGAAAAATAAAATAGCTATATATTATATAATCATATAAAAAATGTGTTCAATTAGAGTTTAAATTTACACATACAAAATTTGAAATTTGCTTTCCAAATATAATTATCTTAGTTATTATTCGTATTGTGAAAAAAAAAAAGCACAACATTTAAAAAATAAAATAGCTATATATTATATAATCATATAAAAATATACTTTTGAAAAATAAAATAGCTATATATTATATAATCATATGAAAAATGTGTTCAATTAGAGTTTAAATTTACACATACAAATTTGAAATTTTCTTTTCAAATGTAATTATCTTAGTTATTATTCGTATTGTGAAAATTATAATATATATGAAATACAATTAAGAATAAATCAATGTAATTATGTAAATTCTCTCTATAAGTTTATTTGAATATGCACATAATTAGAGATTATATTAACCATACAAAATTTTAATTTTAATTTTAATTTTAATTTTAATTGTAATTTTGTATTCTATAAAAATAATAAATACTTGACCAATGGAAGCTCAAAAATATTATTATATTAAATAATTTAAAATATTTTAGTTTTTCTATTTTTTATTTATATTTATAATAACATAATTTTTTCCCGTGCATCGCGCGGGTGAATTACTAGTTAATATAATATTTAAATATGAAATTTGAATAATATAAAATAAAATTGATTATTTTTATTTTTAATATAATTAAAATGAGTGTTTTCAACTTGTGATAAAAAGTAGTAGTAAATATGAGTATTGTTGTAGATAGTTGTGATTGAAAATAAAATGTGTGTCCTAACAAATTGCATATTAAAATAAATGAAATCTTCTTAATGTTATCTTGATGATTATCATATCGCTGCGTAGTCGGTAACATTTATTATTATTTTGTTAAAATCGACATGATTAAAATATACTTTTTGATGATGTCAAAAAGTAATTAAAGGGTTTCGACTTTTTTTTGGATGCTATTGACTCTATTACAATGTAGTATCTGTTTATAACTACTTTCTCAACCTATTGAAGCACAAAGAGCCAATAACGCCTTCACCACTGAGACTCAAACTCACAACCTCCTATATGGGAGTTTAATCCAGGTACCATATGAGCACAAGGTGCTTGGCATCACATACGACTTTTTAGTCAACAATTATGGTTAACTTTAGTGGTCAACGTGTTTACTAATAATAACATTTCAGTTGACTTTGATCTTGTACAATTCAATGAATTCATGCATAAAAACTTTTATTTTGACCATATCAACTCTTAAATAATGTGGGTCATAACACATTTAAAACGGATTATATTGTTAGTTGGTAAGTTCGATATTTTTTTCTAATAGAGTTAAAAGAAAAGTTGATCCCTATTAAGAGAAATTATGATTATTATTTGGGGTAAGGAATTATGATTATTAAATTTGTCTATAATAAGATAAGATTAAGTTTAAGAAAAATGATTACTCTTGTTTTATAATTTGTAGATAATTATACTCCTAATTATGTTAATTTGTAAGTTGCAACAACTTATCTAATAATTTGACTCCTGTCCTCTCAGTCTCTCACGATGTGAAATTTGCGAAAACAATAAAGAAAAACAAGATTGCAAGGAAACCTAATCAGATCAACAATCCTTTAATTTGCTCAATACAAAAATTATTTTATAATATAATATAACTATAACAATTACTCTCATCATCCTCCAAAAAAAAAAAAAAAAGGGTAAAATAGACCATCGAACTTTAGACGAAAAGTTAATTAGCCCTCTAAATTTTTTAAATGTACAATTACACACATTAATAATTTATTTTGAATTTTTGATGCAATAAGGCCCACATGTCATTAGGGTTCCGATAACCCTTCTGCTGAATTTCAGGCAACAAAGTGACCAGCTATCGTTCACCAGTCGCCGATCACTTTTGTTGCCTGAAATTTCACCGGAGGGTTATCAGAATCCTAATGACATGTGATAGCAGGTCATTAACCGATTTTTGGACCTTTTTGTATCAAAATAAATTATTGATGTGTGTAATTGCATTTTTAAAAAGTTTATGGGGCTAATTGACTTTTCAGCTAAAGTTTGAGGGAGTATTTGACCATTTTTCCAAAAAAACAAGATACATGGTGGGAGTTTTACTCCCTTGGAGTCCATTTATCGTTTTCCTTTTAGCAAATATAATATAATGGTATTTAAACAAATCTCAAGATCTAACTATATTAAGCCAGTTTGCCACTCACAAAACAACACTTCATGGCAAAAATTTTGGCAATTTCAAATTTAGTTTACTATTATTTTTGTCATTTAACATCCCATATTATCATTTTTAGTCACTTTTGGTTCTTTCGATGATGTTTTTGGTGAGACCATAGTTTGACTAAGGTATTTTTGTCCCAAACGTTGATCACCTCTGCTGGCTTTTTGCACGACGGCAACGATTTCTTGAATTCAACCACGCATTCCTTGATGCATTGCGGTGATGTTTGTTGCTGCTGCTAAGAATCTGTGTCGAGCTTCAAAACGCCGTAACTGCTGGACGTGAGGGAAACTGGTGGAAAATCGACAAAAAGTTTTTTTGAAGAGACAAAAATATCATTGTCAAAATAGGGTCACACCGAAAAAAATAATCGAAAGGACCAAAAGTGTCGAAAAAAATTATAGTATGAAATGTTAAATGACAAAAACAATAATATGAGACTAAATTTGAAATTGTTACTAAACACAAGGGATCTCCGCAGAAATTAACTCTTAATTTTATATGGTAAGGAGTGACTGTTTGTGATTGATAAAGTAATGGTCTGTAATATGGTCATTAAAAAATAATATAATATAAGTATGTTACAATATAAATAGTTGTATTTCTTAATTGCACAACGTAAAGTCTTAAATTTAATCACAATTTCTTTCACATACAAATGAAAATTATATAATATCAAATGGTACAAATGTCGCTTGATGTAAATAAAAATGAACAATGATATTTTTATAAATTAATAATGCTTTTTACTTTAAAAAAAAAAAAATTTAGTAAGTTACTCCTTATTATAGTTGTAAAACTTTTACTAAGAGCAATGTGAAAAAAAGAAAAGAAAAAGAAAGAAAAGTGAAACATGGTACAACTAACAAAAAAGATCCAAAGTGGGGAGGCAATCACTAATCAGACGCACCAACTCAAAACTTAAAAAAGCAACAAGCTCCTCAACAGAAGAAAAAAGTGGAAAAGAAAAAAGAAAATAATATAATAATAATAATAGCAAAGGAGAGCAAAAAGCGGAGAGAGAGACTTGTATTGAAGGCCACATTTACCCATTACCGCACTCTCATTCATTCCTTCTCGGCTTCACCGATACTTGCACATATAACTTTCTTCCCCATCCGTATAACTGTAACAGTATTTGTAATTGTACAATCGCCAGTATTCAAATAATTCGAATTTGATCGCGAGCGAATTCATTTCAGAGGGGAAACTTTTAGGCAGATCACGGTGTTTTGATTCGGATTTGGATAACCACGATGTCGTGCTCATCGTCGTCTTCGGGGTCGGAGGAGGAGGATGAGTCAATGGACTCGTACAGGAAGGGAGGGTACCACGCGGTGCGCGTCGGCGATTCCTTCGCCGGCGGCCGGTACATCGCGCAGCGGAAGCTCGGCTGGGGAGAGTTCTCCACTGTCTGGCTCGCCTATGATACTCAAGCATCAGTATGCGTTTTTCTTCTTTATACTTTTGATCAAATTCCGTCGGTTCATTTCTCTTTTTTTATTTTTTATTTTTATTTTTAGGATGCATCCTTAATCTCATGCTGCTAGATGTTGAGATCTTGTTTCTTTAATTCTATTTTCTGTCTGTTAATGATTACCCCAATTGGATCAGACCTTAAATAGGAAAGGATCGCTTTAATCAGCAGTTTCTAATCGCAACATATTAATTCTTATTATTTTTATTTTATTTTATTTGGGAGGACTATATTTGACTAAGGTACTCCCAGCAGTAATTACAAATTAGTGGAATACCGAATACACTGGTCTTGAGTTGAGGTAGCTTATAGCTAGAATAATAGAGCTAATGATCTCCATTTGACCGACCGAGATAATAAAGCCTATATAAGCAGGCAAAAGTGGAATAGAACTTAAAGCTATACTAGCAGGTAATATGGAGTGTTAACAATCACAGTTGTAATTATGTAGCTTGGTCAATTGTGAATCTGTGCGTGAATCAGAAATTATATTTCATATCCCCAAGTGTAAGTTGTATTGTGTACATTGAATAGGTTTTGAGCTCGTTTTCACCATCTTCTATTTGGAAGAATAGCAGCATAGCATGATTGTTTGCATCAATACCTTTTACTAATCCAATATGTTCTTTTCTAATCTTAATTAGTTCTAGTTATGTGTGTGTGCTATAAATAGCACATTTTAAATGGTTAACATCTTGAATTAAACTAACTCTTGCAATGACTTGAAGGAGATATTCTGTTTTTTTCTTTGGTCATCCTGTTTTAAATTTGTTGTTAAGATTAATATTTACTGAACTCCTTGTAGTATCAGGTGCTAACATTGTTGTTTCTGATTGTACTTCTGTTAGACATATGTAGCTTTGAAGATTCAGAAGAGTGCACCACAATTTGCTCAAGCTGCTCTCCATGAAATTGAAATCCTCTCTGCTATTGCTGATGGTGATCCCTCCAATAATAATTGTGTTATACGGTTAATTGACCATTTTAAGCACACAGGCCCAAATGGACAGCATCTCTGCATGGTTCTTGAATTTCTTGGTGATAGTTTGTTGCGACTGATCAGATATAACCATCATAAAGGCCTTGAGTTAAACAAAGTTAGAGAAATATGCAAGTGCATTTTGACTGGCCTAGATTATTTGCATAGAGTACTTGGAATTATACATACAGACCTAAAACTTGAAAATATCCTGCTCTGTTCCACCATTAATCCTGCCAAAGATCCAATAAAATCTGGAAATACCCCCATTCTTCAGAGACCTGAGGGGTTCCCGAATGGGGCAGCAACCTCGAATCTTATTGAGAAAAAGCTAAAACAGAGGGCAAGGAGAGCTGCAGCTCGGTTAGCTGGAAGGCGAACTGCAATGGTTGAGGGAACAAATTCCAAGTCCTCTAGATCTCTTGATGGGATTGACATGAAGTGTAAGGTTGTGGATTTTGGAAATGCATGCTGGGCTGATAAGCAGTTTGCAGAAGAAATTCAAACAAGACAATACAGAGCCCCTGAAGTTATACTCCAGTCTGGATATTCTTTCTCAGTTGATATGTGGTCATTCGCATGCACTGCATTTGAGCTCGCTACTGGTGAAATGATGTTTGCTCCCAAAAGTGGACAGGGTTTCAGTGAGGATGAGGTAATGCATTTTGGCCTGCTGCTCTTTCACCATTGAAATATGCATTCAATATTGGTAGTGCACCTCTTTTCTTAGTGCCCTGTTTAATTGTTCTTTGAGGAAGGAGGTTAAAATAATTAAAAGAAAAGAAAATTTCCAAAGAAAACAGTAATATTTCTGTGAAAAGCTTTTATTCAGAAATTAAGTCCCAATTATGTGCTATAAAGTAATCCTTCACAAACTCTACTCCGTTGCAATGATTCGGAGGCAGACAGGAATTTAATTTGCAATTTGGGGGGAGGCTGTATTGTAATTTTCTATCATGAAAATTTGACATTTAAACCGACATTGTTCTGTTTGTGGAAATACTGCAAATGATTTAATGTTAGCTAAATTCATAACTACGTATGCAAAAGTAAATTTATTCTAGGAACAAAATTTTGCAATAAATAGGTGTGCTTATAATTAGTGGCGAAAAGGGGAAATTGGGAAGAGAATTTTTTATTTTTTTTTCTTCAGGGCAAAAAATGTTATGAGACTGAAGATTTGGTAGCTAATCTAATTTATTTGTAGTATGCTTCCCTGTCTAAGGCATGTTAATTGAAAGGGGACACCCCACAATTGGGGAGTAACTAGTAAGAAGGTGGAGGGATCTATCCATGGATTGGATGCATAAAATGATTAAACAGACAGACAATTTGATAGCAGTTACTCCCTGTAGTAATACTAATGCTAATTAATTCTCTATTACCTAGTTGTGACCCAAAGATCTAGTGTTTTGGTTTGATTGTCATGAGTTTATATCTCTTGATTTGAACCTCAGGAATATCTGATCCAAATTGACTTACTGCTGATAACTGAATTTTCATTATTTATTTATTTATTAATTATTATTATTGTTGTTATTATTATTATTATTAAAAAAAGTTTGCTTCAATGTAGGATCACCTTGCTCTTATGATGGAGCTACTTGGTAAAATGCCTAAGAAGGTTAGCAAATTATAACAATTGTCTTTATAATTCTTAGTGCTACTTTTGGAAAATGTGCCCAGATATTGTTCCTAAAATTTTATATAATTTTTGAAACAGATGGCAACTAGCGGGGCTCGATCTAAAGATTACTTTGATAGACATGGTGATTTAAAGAGGATCCGAAGATTGAAGTACTTGTCTTTAGATAAACTATTAGTGGATAAGTATAGATTCTCCAAAGAGGATGCCCAGGAGTTTGCAGTGTTTCTTTCTCCCCTTCTTGATTTTGAGCCAGAGAAGCGACCAACTGCACAGCAATGCCTCCAGCACCCATGGCTCAATGCTAAAAGTTCAAATCAGAATGAGGTGAGGAGTGAATCTGGTACTCAAAAAGTTAACGTTGGGATGAGTAGCCTTCAAGTTAAGGTGGGTAAGTGATAGTAGGGATTGATGGTTGTCACTGCCAGTGCCCAAGTATTATGCCCCTCTCTCCACCTGTATGATATTACTTGTGATTTTTATGTTCTACCGTTTTATACGTTTCAATAAGATTTGATTCATTCGTTAGTAGAATGCCCTTAGTACCGAATGATCATCCCTAGGAAATGACATCAGTGAGATCAAATTGACCCCAGTTCCAAGGTATCACAGTTGAAGCTGAACTTGTAGATACTTCAGCTCTATAGGTGACTGTTTTAGTGATGCTTGCATTCACGAGACAAATTCCTTCCATATTTCATTCCAGGAGAGATGATGACTTTTGGGTTCCTTTCATGAACATGGATGGCTCTGCATTGACTTGATGTTGGTGATTGAACCCTCTTTCTGGGACACAACTCCTGCATGTCATTGAACCTGCTTGAGATTCTAGATGAGAGCCACTGGTGGTGAAAAAGAAATTTTACCTGAAGATTTCTCTTCATTACATGAGCTATTGGAGTCGGGATTCTTCTTGCCAAACTTGGTACCACAATGGCTTCCCATATATTTTTGTCTTTTCAAATGGTGCTTGTGATTTTAGGGAACTGGTAGCCAGTCTAATCCGGTGGAGCTTGATCTGAGTGTCACATAACAGAAGCTATATGTGGAGTATGACTTTTGTACACAAGAATTTTTTTATTATTTTTTTCTTTTATTTTTTCAGGTTATAAGTTGTCACTGACTTATAACTGTATTACTTTTGATTGTGCATTATTTGTGCTGATATTAAACTCGCATTCTTCATTTGCAACTTTCTGGATGTATGTGTGCCTTTTTCTTCATAAGTTTGTACACGTTTTTAATGCTCGACATTCTTATTCTTCGAAAATCATTTCCAATCCTACTCCGTAATATTTATCTATTAACTATCGGATAAATTATTTGATTTTTTTTTTTTTTTTAAATGAGGCAGTGATATGTAATTGATTAATAATCATATTAAGTTGGTAAAATATTAGATTGAAATAGTGCTTGAGTAATCAGAAGTGAGAATGGCTCAAAACTTGCCATTGTCGTGGTGCATATATATTTTTTATTTGTTATGGGAAATTTTCACAAACTATCTCTACTTTTTAAGGTTGTCCTCTTTGAATAATGCATCCTGAAGAAAATAAAGAAAATGTATACATCTGGGCAATCTCAAACCACAAACATGGATTTACTAGGTACTGTTGGCATTGCCTGAACCAGTTTAATCCTACCAAATTGTTGCTGGCACTTATCTTGTTTCAATATAAATTCATCTCAGATTTTGATTTGTTCAATTTGTTTATTTCAGATTGTCCTAGCAAATATACAGGGATAGTCTGGACATCTATTAGTCTGTTAATACAAAAATCATATAGGGTACTTTGTTTTGTTCAAATTTGTTATTTGGACACTTAGATATAAACTTGTATCATTAAAACAATATTTAATAGTTCCCACAATTTACCTAACCATGCAACGTTAAACTTCGTAACCTCACATTTAAAATACTTCATAAAAATAAAAGTACACCATTTAATTAAAATAATAAATGTATCTTTTCAAATGCTTACATGCAAAAAATATCATTAAAAAAAAGTATATACATATATTTTTTTTGTTGTGTTATTTCCACTTTTTGTTTCTCACATTTGGTTCCCTACTATTAAAATTTTTAGATTTGATCTCACAATTTTTAAATCATTACCACATTTGGTTTATCCAACACAAATTTTAGTTATCGGTAATAAAATTTCAGACAATTGAATTATCTTAAAGGTAAAATTGTGTTTTTTTTTTCTTTTACTTATTTTTTTCCTCTCAAATCACTTTCTTCATTTTTTCCCAATAAATTTATAAACTATATATTTTATTAACTTTATAAGATAATATGGTGTTGAATTAATGATATTATGATTACATAATACAAATATTATATACAAACTTTAATAATGTTAAAATGTAAGTCAAATAAATTAAAATTATATTATAAATTTAAATTTACAAACATTGAATAATTTGTACAAAAATTACAAATTATTTCATTATAAGGGATATTAGTGGTTAATTCTAGAATTAGAGAACCAGATGATCAAATTTAAAATTTTTAATAGTCGGGAGCTAAATGTAACAAAGATTTAAAAGTTGTGGGATTAAACTTAAAATTTTAATAGTCGGAATCAAATATGGTAAGGATTTAAATGTAGTGGGATCAAATTAAAAAATTTTAATATTTAGGGATCAAATGTGACAAAGATTTAAAAATTGTGAGATCAAATTTAAAAATTTTAATAAGAGTAAATACTCAAAATGGTCCATCGACTATAGCTAAATTCACAAATTGGTCATCGACTTTCAATTTCAACCAATTAAGTCCTTAACTTTGTAATTTTAACACAATTTGGTCCTATGTCTATTTGACCGTTTGTTAACTGTGATTTTTGAGGATATATATGTAATTTCATGGTCCATCGCCGGTTTTTTAAGGTTCCGATTGCATTTCCAAACCACATTGTTACATTCGAATCCATTGCCGAAAGCAATCTACCAAATCCGGTCGTCTTTCTTCATCCTCCCTTTGGATTCAATGTAGTTGAGTTCGTACTAGAGTGAAGAAGACGACGTGTTTCTGAACCGGTGCAACGTCATCCTGGAGGCCTCCATGTGCTCTGACGAGAGCTGAAGGTTCTTCTGGAGATCGTTGATCACGGTCAACAAACGGTCAAATAGATGGAGGATCAAATTGTGTCAAAATTGCAAAGTTAAGGACTTAATTGGTTGAAATTGAAAGTCGAGGATTAATTTGTGAATTTAGCTATAATCGAGAGACTATTTTGGGTATTTACTCTTTTAATAATTAGGGATTGAATGTGACAATGATTTAAAAGTTGCAAAACCAAATATAGTTTTCTATCTTGAAAAAAAAAAAAGGAATAAGGTTCAAATTGGCCACTGAACGTAACCTGAAAATGCAATTAGGCCACTGAACGAAAAAAAAGTGCAATTAGGCCATTGAACACTCAAAAAATATGCAATTAGGCCACTCGACTCTCCAAACGTATGCAATTTTACCGGATAGCAGGTTACCATCAATTTTAGCAGGTTACCTGCTTACGTGGCAGCTTAGTTGTCATTTTTAATAATTTTTAAATAATTTTTAATAATTAATTTTAATAATAAATTTTATAAAAAAATGGAAAAAATTAAATAAAAAATAAAATAAAGTCGTTTTTATTTTAAAAAAAATTAATAAAAATTTATTATTAAAATTTATTAAAAATGCCAACTCAGCTGCCACGTAAGCAGATAACCTGCTAAAATTGAGGGTAACCTGCTATCAGGTGAAATTGCACATTTTTAGAGTGTTCAGTGGCCTAATTGCACTTTTTTTTTGTTCAGTGGCCTAATTGCATTTTTAGGTTACGTTCAGTGGCCAATTTGAACCTTATTCCAAAAAAAAAAAAAAAAAATAAATAAATCAGGGAGACAGAGTAGGTGAGGAGTCGACGTGAGACATCGAACGAGTTGACTAGCAACGACCCAATTGTTGTTGGCTGTTGGTTGGAGACCGGAGTCTGAAGAGACAGTGAGTTGGAGACGGAACTGGGCGCTCACAACTTCCAACTTCAATCACTCTTCATTCTTCATTCTTCAAGGTAATAAATACTATATTACTACTATTTCTTTTAAAGTTTGTGTTGTACTATTGTCTATTGTTGATGTGTATTGTGTGATGGCTTTGATTATTTCAAAATTAAATTGATAATTTAATTGTTGAGGTTGAAATGTCGACTTGTTGGTTGTGCATTTGTGTTAAAATGTTTAATGTTGAGATAATTTTGAAGACCAAGCCACAAGCTGATTCCTTCTGTAATCTGTAGCCAATGTGCTTGTTAAAATACCTTATTCAATTTTGGAACAACCCTGTAAGTAATCAAGTATTGATGCTGTTTGAATTGTCTCAAGGTGTGCTGGCATTCATTCTTATGTCCTTTATGTTGATTAATGTATTTGTTGATTTCAAAGATTCGATTTAATTTGGCTAATACTACAAAAATTTTCTGTCCTTATACTTCATGGGTGTTATCAAGATTGATCTTGATGTAATTACACTCAAGGCTTGAGAAGGATTCCTTAATTTAGTAGTAACTGAACATTATCTTAAGAAAGAACATACAGCTCCATACATGTTAAATAGCATCACAACAGAAAAAAGTTTGAAATTTTGAAGTTATACGTACTGGATATAATTAGAGCATCCATTTTTGGACATGGATAGTTTGTTGAGCTTTCTTTCATACTTTGTATCTACAATTCTACAAATACATATGAAACCTATGTGCTTTGTGCTTGCTTTCAATTTCTACTGTTGTAAGGAGTTCCCACTTTAATCTTGTGCACCAACAATGGATCCAGATTAATATTCGGATATTAATGCAGGATATACAGTCCAATGACTCAATATCCACAGAGGCACAGATTGTAGATCCTTGGACTAATTGGGAGTGAGGAAAATTCGAATAAACAACTTCATTGCATAACTTGCACTTTATGTCCTCATAAGATATTGTTATCACTTATCAAATTCTAACAGATACCTTTTCGGATGGCATTTTTCAATTCAATAACAAGAAGCCTTGTAAGAAAATCTCTGATCAGTCACGTGAGAACTGGTGTAAGATGCATGAGCAACCTGCCAGAGAATGCAGTATATGGTGGTCCCAAGCCACAGGACCCGAACCAGAGAACAACCCTCGCTACTCTCCGCCAGAAGCACCGCAAGGGGGAGCCCATAACCATGGTCACAGCCTATGATTATCCTTCTTCTGTGCATCTTGACACTGCTGGGATTGATATATGTCTAGTAGGTGACTCTGCCGCTATGGTGGTTCATGGCCATGACACCACTCTGCCCATCACTCTTGATGAGATGCTCGTGCATTGTCGAGCTGTTGCCAGAGGAGCTAAATGCCCTTTTCTTGTTTGTGACCTCCCTTTTGGTAGCTATGAGTCCAGTACCACACAGGTAACTTGTGCATATATTGTTTTATGTCTTTTTATTTCTTTTTTATTTTTAAACAAAGTTGTTAATTTCTAATATACTCTTAATTTTGTGCAGAATTTCAATTATTATTTTGAAAAAGAACAAAGATATTATTGTATGATAATGCTAATTTTTGCAAACAATTGATTAAGATGGGGCCTTTCGCTTTTAGTTCAGTTTTCATACATAAAAACATTATGGGTTTAAGAAATTACTGATTGGAAAATTATTTGGCACAAATCATAAAGCAATTAAATTGAATGGGCTATTTTTTGAATTCATCATATTTAATGCAAAAAATGTGTTCATGTATTTATTTATTTTTTTAAAGTGAAATTGGTGGTAATATACTGATATTGAATCATGAACAGGCTGTTGATGCAGCGGTAAGGGTTTTAAAGGAAGGAGCGATGGATGCTATTAAGTTGGAAGCTGGTGCACCATCCAGAATTACAGCAGCTAAAGCAATTGTTGAATCTGGAATTGCTGTGATGGGGCATGTTGGACTTACCCCTCAGGCCATTAGTGTTCTTGGAGGATTTAGGCCTCAAGGTAGAAATGTCTCTAGTGCAGTCAAGGTATGGATTCTCAAGTATGGCCACATATAATCATTGTACAAACCAAACTAGTACAGAGTTTTCTTTAAAAAAAATAAAATTATTTTCAATTCTGCAGGTTTTGGAAACTGCCTTGGCTTTTCAGGAAGCAGGGTGCTTCTCCGTTGTTTTGGAATGTGTGCCGCCACCTGTGGCTGCTGCAACAACATCTGCTCTTAAGATTCCCACTATTGGCATTGGGGCCGGACCATTTTGCAGTGGTCAGGTTAGTTGATATCTTGTTCATTCTTTATCTATATTTGTAGTCGATTGACTGCCCTTGATCCTCGCTTGATTTATGAACATTCCAATTTTTATGCATTACTTAAGATGTATGGCACTATATGTGATAAATGCATCAAGTGGTTTTTGATTAGCTAATTCTTAGGTTGCAACAGAGAAACAAATACTTCCTTTCTTGTCCACTACCTTAAGTTTTCTGTTTAGTAATGAAAAAATGTTTTTTTTTTTCTATTTTCGTTTTTTCCACTTTTTCTATAACTTGATTAACTTCTACTGTCTAAATGAAAAAAGAAAGTTGGAGAATTAGGAACCAAAAAAAAAAGCTAGGTAAAAGTCCATTGTTCACCCTTGCTTTCTCCAAATGGAAAACAAATTTGGGTTGTTTTCCAACATTGTTAAATGTTAACAAAGTTGGAAAAATTGAAAATTTGTTTCCATTTTTTAGTTTGGAGAATGTTATTGTGAATACAAACTCCAATTTTCCATTTTTATTTTTCCAGAAAAATGGAAAACTTTCCATTTGCTGGAAAGGCCGTTAAGTTTTTGTTTGGATCTCTTCTTAAAACTATTGGCTCTTCAAGAATGGAATTCAGTAGTCCAGACATCCAACAGGCGTGTTCGAGTCATCTTAAATATTAAATTTACTACTTCCTTTGTTCCATTTTGTGTGTGTTTAATTCAGTTAAGAATCAAACTATTTACTATTCAGTTTTTTTAAAGTAAATAAAATTTATATACTTATAAACTACATTACAATCCCTATTAACCACAGAAGGAGGAATGTAAAAATAATAAAAAATGTTTAATAAAATAGGCAAAGAAAGAAGAGTTGGTTTGATTCATGAATAAACATGACAAGTAAAATATGATAGCGAGATTTTTATTTATTTATTTTTGCTATTCACGTTCATGAAAAATGTAAAACTGTGCTCAAGCAAAAAAGGGTGTTATTGCACTAGTCTCTAAACTCTCTACTACAAATTTGTTGGATTACTATAAGATCAGTTGCAATGCAGGTGCTAGTTTATCATGATCTGCTTGGGATGATGCAACATCCACATCATGCCAAGGTGAGTAGAATTAGTCTTTCTCTGTATAAACTATAAAGTACTTTTCTTATTCGTGATCCTTAGAATTTATGAATATTCTAAGCTATGCAATTCTGATTTCTGAATGAGAAATACCGCTGCACATTTTCAAGGTTACTCCTAAATTCTGTAAACAATATGGGCATGTCGGGGATGAAATCAACAGAGCACTTCTGCAATACAAGGAAGAAGTGACAAACGGTTCTTTCCCCGGTGCCGCTTATAGTCCGTATAAAATTAGCGCTGCTGACATGGATGGTTTCCTTCACGAACTGCAGAAGTTGGGTTTCGACGATGCAGCATCTGCAGCTGCTACTGCTGCCGAGAAGATTCAGACACCACCACCAAAATGATCAGAGTATGTGCTAGAGAGCTAAGTTTTTTTTTTTTGGTTACCCAAAGGTATCCCTCCAGTCGATAGCCAGAAGACTAATCCTCCGTCCCAACGGTCAGCACACTAAGTGGTAGGGGATTGGCCAGAGAGCTAAGTTGATAATGCCTTCTATCTATAACTATTTGTCAAAAATATTTAGTTAGGTTTTTTTACTGCAATCTGCATGCTTAAAAAGCTAATTTGACTAAAAGATGAAACAAGCTGCAATATTTCCACATTTTTTATTACTCTCTTAATCTTCTATCAGTTAAATCACAACACTAGAGTGACATGACGTGAGTTTTAATTTATTCCATAGGAGTAAATATATCCCTTTCCATGCATCTATCAATATAACATAGATCAGAGTTCATATTGCATTGTGAATCATGGTCCCAAAATTATGTGTCTGCAATTGACACATTTTGTACATGCAGTTAAACATTTTTGTACCGGTAAACAAATTGAAAAAATATCACATGGTAATTACATACACAAATTGTCAATTGCATATATAAAATATATTCACTGCAGACAATATATTTTTGTACATGTCTGCCATTAATATATTTGGTACATGCACTTAGTAGTTTGTGTCTGTAATTATCATGTCTAGGTTTCATGGAAATTTTTTTTTAAGGCAATATATACCATTTGTTGTGATGATGAAAATTTGATTTTGTTGATTTTTCAAACCGATACTATTTTTTTTTTTTTTTTTTGGGGGGGGGGTTGTGTAGTAGCTATTTTTAGGAGTGGGAGTGGTTTCTTGTTAGTCTGCCAGAAGAAAATTGAACTTGTAATTATCAAAGTGCAAAAATCATGTTTCATCTACATGGTCATTTTTTTCAGTACAAAAAAGTAATTTTTGAGTAAGAAATAATTGTTGAAGAGAGAGAAAGTCTCATCTCCTTTGTTTTTTTCTCTTTTAATAGCTAAAATCCAAATAAGGGTGAGAGAAAAAAAAAATCACTCCTTAAACCTTAGGGTATCACCCATGGTTAAAAAATATTTCTCATCCTTAAACCTTAGGGTATCACCCATGGTTAAAAAATATTTCTCATCCGCATCGTCATCTAATATCAATTTATCTACACATCATTACCAAAAAAATAAAATTAATCGAGGCAAAATAAAGTGGGCGGATATTGATGCGCCCACCAAGTCCTTGAAAGGCACAATGCCGTTGGGCGTATCTATGCCCAATTGCTAATTTGCTATACCATGGACCAACCACAATGCAATTTGGACAATGGAGTTTTTTTTTTTTTTTTTTTACTTTTGGTCTCAAGACTATTATGGTGCTAACAATGTTAATTCATAAATTTCAAATTTTTCATAATTGAATCTCGTGTATAAATTTCTTAGCGCAAATAATTACGATAAAATCTCCGTCAATTTTTCACCGAAAAATTATTTCTTCTTTACGGTAGGAGTATAATGGTCTTTTTCTTTTACCACCATGTTTTCTCTTTAGACTTTTTCACATTTTTTGTCCCATAAGTATTGTGACACTAACAATGTTGATCCACAATTTTCAAAACTTGCATAATTGATTCACGAGTATCAATTTCTTAGCGCAAATGGTCCTTCCAGTGAAATCTCCGCAAAGGAAAAATACCATTATACATTTATACCCCTATTATAAAGGTGAACTAATTTTTCCGGTGAAAAAATGACGGAGATTTCACCGGAAGGGCCGTTTAGACTAAAAAATTAAAAATGAATACTCATGGACCAATTATGCAAGTTTTGTCACAAAGAAATTATTTGGGTTTTTGAACTAACCTGATTATTCATGGGTTGGGGACCAAACGTCCAAACCCCCAACAATCATTAAAAACATCAAACCAGAAGTATAATAATCTTTGCCTCATATGTTGTTTGGTTTTTACTTCACAAAGTACTTGTGGGAAATCCAGAGACAATAGAAACCGCTAAATCAGTCACAAACATATTATGCCTTGAAACAGAGGAAAGGGTAGACAAACGAATTCACAGAATGCAATTTGCTATATATATGTCAAGCTACTTTTACCAAATTCAAATAATACTACTAGTTAAAATTCTTTTATTCAACATAGACGTATATGGCATATATATTTCCATGAGAAAGCCAAAATGGTTAGCTCAACTTGGTCTGATTCCATTCCTCATATCAATCTGGCTTCTCTGTGTTAAGCAACAATGGCTCCTGCAAAACTGCATATTAGCCTGTCAAATTGTACTCATCTGCTTCCAGATAAGGATTATAGCTCTCAAAAACTTCCATCTTTCCAATCAACTGATCCATTCCTGAAATTTTTTTATCATTAGTATCAAAGCATATATGGCCCTTGCTACTTCAAACATATTCAATTAATGTACAAAAGTATATGAGCCTATTTTAACTATAATTGCTGCTATAGTTAAACATACCAATAGGAAAACTGTGTAGATTCCCTCACAGTAATGAACAAACCGTTTCTAGATTATAGAAACTCAATCATTCAAAAACACATAAACATATACGGATGAAGACAATTTATTGATTGTGTTCTTGAATAAGAGATTCTCACAAGTCCTGGATAACGTGAAGTCACTCTCCAAGCAATAAATAAATTTTGATATATATTTTTCTTTGTCTTCCTATGACAATGTTTCAAGCCTAACTTAATTTCCCAGGTCTTTTACGTGATGAAGCTAATTTGATGTTTTTCAGTGCCTTAATAATATCACATGCAATTAGGCATACTATAACAAAAACCAGAAAAGCATTATCAAAAATACATACTTGGGGGGTTTGACAAGCCATAGAAGGACATTTGATCAAAACTCCCTGCAGGTTTTGGAGTACTCTCTGAAGCAAATGCAGACTCGGCTTTATTGGTTTTTGTACCAACGGAATGCATGGCAGAACTGACCTCATAGTTCTGATAGCAGACATCTTCAGACCTCGAAGTTGGGATGTGAGAAGATTGCAAATCCTCCTCTGGTTTTGTCGTAACCTTATCATCCTGTGACTCGACCTCAGTCTCCACTTCTGATTCAATATTATTCGTGGATACAACTTGCTGCTTCCTTTTTGATCGAGCACGCCTATTTTGGAACCAGTTGTAAACATTTGTTTCTGAGATCTGTCCATGGCGGGACAAGTCATCAGTGATCTCTTTGATCTTCTGCTTGCTCGGAGTGCCATTGCCTTGATCAAATATTCGCTCCAGAGTCTGAAGCTGCACAGGTGTTGGAGTCCATCGCTGTCTGCCAGTGAGTTTGTGGCCTGCACATGTCACTAAAGGGTCACAATACAGGTTTCCCAGCCTGGCTCCTGCAACATCAAAACACAATCCAGTCAATTCCACTTTACACAAATTACCAAGATCTTGCAACCAGTAAAACAACAATGTATATTATAAACACAAATCATTTATATATCCTCAACCTTGAATCAACTCATTCTAGAATCAGAGGCTCCAACAACATAAGCAAGACATATGATTCAAAATGATTGCAGATAGTTAGATTGCAAAGCAAATATGATCTCCAAATAGTTCGGGACAAAAGCCATACAAAATACTAACAAACAACCACAAAATTATTTTGCACTAAACAGTAAGAATTTGAAAAAGAAAATTGCTTATTTACTTGTTGTGCATTTTGTAATGTTAATTGTGCATTCACGGACAAGCGATTGTACATTGAAAACACACATTTCTGTAATTACTTTTGTATTTAGGATTATGCATCTTGTAATCTTCTAATGCCTGATTATGAAGTTTGCACGGGAGCAATGATTCTCATTCTGCCCCTATATATATATATATATATATATATATATATATATATATATATATATATATATATATATATATATATATATATATATATATATATAGAGAGAGAGAGAGAGAGAGAGAGAGAGAGAGAGAGAGAGAGAGAGAGAGTCGGTGACCGATTCAATGTTTTCCCGAATTTCATCAGTTCCAGGCTCAAGTGCCTGTGCATCTAGCAGTAATTATAGTTAAGAATCTAAAATCATATTTCACACTATGATGAAAAACCGAACCTGAACGATATGAGTATTACAATTGATGAAAGAAAAATGAAATCGAGAGAGACAGGGGGCAAGACCAGCAAGATCGTGTTGGGAGGCGACGGATTTGTGCAATTCGACGAGCTGATCGCAAATGGTGGCATAGACGGCGATTTGCTTGCGCAGGACTTCCATTTGCTCGTCGGTCATTACTTTCACAAACATCCCTCCGCCTCCCAAATCCTCCGTCGGCGGCGGCGGAGGCGGGGGTTGCTGCTTCTCCCACTCCATAACTTCCTTGCGCAATTCCACTCTCACAACTCAAAATATAGATTAGAATTATTATAGTAAAATGATAGGGAATTAGGCATGGAGAAATGGAGAAAGGCTATACAGTCTGCACTAGCGAAAGTGGCCGACGGGAAAGTAAAGTAAAGCGGGAAAAAAGTCAATACATGACTTGGACCGTTGAAATGTTGAATATCGTGGTAATCATTATTGTATTTATTTATTTATTTTTAGTCCTTCCATTTAAAATTAATTAGATTCAAAAATACCAAAAATAGTTGTTAACATATCAAAATCATATTTAATACTTCACATATTTTGAATGTTAAGACATATATAATTGAGCACAAAGTATTCTCTTAACATAGTTAGCAATATATACTTACACAGAAACACGAAGGGAGAAAGTATACTTCGTTTAATTTTATTCTTTATGTATAGGAAGGAGGTAATCCAGCATAGTCGAGTAGGCCGATAGTTGTTTAATACTTATGATAGAAATCATAATACTTTTTTCTTTTGTCACGAGGTATTCTGAACAAACCATAACTATATGAGACACATTTAAACTCGTACTATACTTAGAAATCATAATACCTATTACAACAAATTTATTAAGGTAAAATTGATTGCTAATAATGATAAACTGAAATCGTGATACTTTACACACTCAATTGTCTACAACGCAATCTGTCTTACGGATAAGGATACAGTCTCACAAAAGTTTTTGCCTTTGTCAAATATGTAGTATTTGATTTCAATTATAACTTTATGCTAGTTTGAGTGATTTAATTTACTTTTTTTTTCATTTAAGAAATATAATTACACTATTCGTGAAACTTAAAAAACTTATTTGACAAATTTTTCTTTATTTTTTTATGCAAAAGTATTTTCTACTTTTCTAAACAAAAGTCTACTCTGAACTTTTTTTTTTTCTCCTTAATTTGAGAAATTTGTCAATCAGCATCAAACTACCGCTAAACTCGGCAAATTTGTCGTCCAATTCAAAAGCAGTATTCTAGACGACTAGACTACGAATTTCATAAATTGCGTTAGATCCAGCATTTGGTACATGTTTGTCGTATTTAATAATAAATAGATATTCATGAATTATTTATAGAAAAATATAAATGACATGTCTCTTAAACCACATTCATTTGTTCACTGATCTTTTTTCTTTTTTGGAATGCTATTGACTCTGACTCTATTACATTGTAATATCTGTTCAAACATACTTTCTTAACCTAATGAAGCACAAGAAGTCAACAAGCACAAGAAGTCAACAATGCCTTCACTGAGGCTCGATCTCATGACCTCCCACACGGGAGAGATCACTACATGTCATCTGAACACAAGAGAACCCACTGATCTTCTTTATCCAAAAAGTTGAATCCCGAAACTCCAAGAGCCCCCACACCCTGACAAAGCATTTAGGAGGATGTAAATCACAGTGACCGGCCTATTGGTCATCTTGATTTGAGTCAGTCAATTATAGACAACCTAGACTTGTTTACCCAACGCATACCTTCGAGTGGCCGTGGGTTCTCTTCTCTTTACCACATCTGATTGGAGGGTGGAAGTCAAGAATGGGTGATGATTGATATGGAAAGCACATACCTTTTCACTAATTCCAGTACATGAAGGAGATCCACACCACCCAATGATTTGAAGAAGATGAAGATAGCATCATACTCAGCTGTTTCCCATTTGCATTATCAACTCAACCTGTTTCCTCATTTAAACATATTGTAGTCTGAAACAGATAGTAGACAATTTGTATGATAAGTAAATCCCATCATAGTTAGTATTACACTGTATATAGTTTGAGCTTTAGACAGTCAGCAGCAAACATTATTAAGAATATATCCCAGATTTTTCTACAGCAATGCACAGTACTATAGGCTACCAGTCTATGGTCACATGTTTCATTAGGTTGTTCTAGAACTCTAGAAGCAGAAGTTTCAAATAACAACCCAACTTTGGCATATTTGCCAGGGAAAGAAACAGATTCTTCTAGGAGAGTAATCCAATTGTCCATCTGCCAAATAATATTTCACCATGCCTGCAATTCAACTTAGTAGAAAAATGCAATTTGCCTTGCAAATCAAAGTTCTGTGCTTTTACCTTGTTTCCATTTCTTAAGTAAAAAAAACTTACTCCATAATTTGTTCTTATATGCAGTAGAAAATAAAAGTGATGTAGTAATCATCATGACCACACAAACAACAATCATCATTAAATCCCATCATATTGTTCCAAATGACTCCTACCTCTACAAATGATCAAAACACGCTCATTATGAGACTGAGGGGAATGCAGAATGCTTCATGTGAAGATTAACACCATCAAAGAGAAGAAATTTGGTAGGGATGGATGAGAAACCGTTAATTATTGGCAGAAAAACCAACCACTCTCTCAATCAAAAAGAGTTGGATGTAATAAAATAACACTATCCTTGTTTTAGTTCTCAATTGCAGCAACACACAGAAAGATAACTCTACAACAAGAAATGAAGAGTTCTAATAAGCCAATCTTGATAACAAGGAAAACATCTCAAACAGCAACTCACTATTCTAGTTTTGAAATATCCACAATTCTGATTCTATCTTTTTCAGGCAAAACTGACCAATTTGGAGAATGCACTGCCCTCAACCACCGAAAATCATCCACATTTTCCCAATTCCCAGACTCTTCACCAAGATTTGCCTTTTCAAGATCCCTCTCGATCCCGTCATACATCAAACAGTATGGTGCAAATCTCACCCCAGTGCAATCCTCAATTATAGGCCTACTCCTCACCCGGAGATAAAAATCGCACTCTGTTGCATGATGAATTCTAATCTGATGAGATGCCAACACAAAGGCACAACCCTTCACTTCCTCAATCAAAACTGATCCAGTCACAGGCCCAACATAAACCTTACAATTTGTCAGCCTGTGCACAAACAATGCCCTCACACAGCCAAGTAATCTAACTTCACAGCCTCTTAAATCCGACAGCATAAACTCTCCAATCTCCTCCGCCCCAGCTTTGCCAAATTCCATCACCAAAACCTCGTTTTCCCTGTCCCGAAAGCCAGGGGAGTCCAATGCCCTAAACCCTATACTTTGAGCTTCTACATTAATTTCAGACGGGGCTTCCCGAATGACAGCATTGGATGTTGTGACTTTCTTTGTTGCTTTGTTTCGAAATGAGAATTTTTTCTTCGGTATGACAGTAGAGCTAACCTGCTCAAGGGTTTGCCTGAGATCGGAGATGGTTTTGAGGCACGCACGGACTTCGTAGGAGGGCAAGAAGTAGGAGCTCTCGGCGACTTGCTTTTCGAGAGCAGCGATTGAAGTTGAGACCTTGTCCAGTTCCGATTTGAGATTTGGGTCGGATTGAGGGTCTCGGGTTGTGTGGATCCGAGATAGTTCCAAATCAATTGATTGTTTGGATTCAGAGAAACGAGAGAGGAAGGATTGGGTTGAATCTGGAGCTGAGTTCGGGTCTGAATCGGGTTTACGAGCCAGCCGCGACTGATGAAGGTTGGAGAGGCGTTCTAGCATTGCCGCATGCTTGCGTTGGATGGCTAAATCCGAAGTATCGTCGGAGAAGGTAGTACAGGCGGTGGCAGTGGCAGCGGCGGGCGGATTGCTTTCCTCCATGGATAATGGAGAATCAAATTCTGGAATTCTGGTGATAGAAAATGTCCTGATTTTTCTGTTCAGAGTTCCAAATTCCAGTATACCAGCAAACCCATTTGTTGGGTTTTTTCATTCATTTTTCTTCTATCAAAATGTTGAATCCTCACCTCTCAAAGTCCCTTGCAACCGGACTTAACAAAGTATTTAAGAGGATGTAAATCATGATAACTCAATAACTCAATATATCACTTGTTAAATTACGGTGAACACAATTCTAAAACTGTTCATAACTATGAACATATATTTGTATTCATAATATTTTAACTTTATATTCATAAAGACATCTTCAATAGTAGAGGTTTTGATGCAATATTTTAAGAATTTTGTAAGTGTAATTAGGAAAGAAAAATTAAAGGAGGAGTTTAAAAAAAAAAAATTAAAACAAAAAACAAAATGTTAGTAAAAAAAATAAAAAATAAAAAAACTTGAAACGCATAGTCTCTTGAATTGTTTTTATTGGATCATATGCATTACATTTTTATTTTTTTTTTGTAAAATGTTTTGACAAATAATTCTCTAACATTTATCATTGTGATTGTGCTTGTTAAACAATCAAATTCAATTGCTGTGTTCTCGTTACTTTTAGAAAAGTGAATATCCCTCAACTCCTCATTCATACTCTTATTCTCCTAATAAAAGGTTTAATCCCTAATCTCAATGCTCTCATATCCTGATATGTCAAAGCATTTGAAATTATATAAATCATGGTGAATTAATGACTCAACAGACATGATCAAATGTTGATGCGCATAAGAGACACTCGTTCACATTCTTACTAATTAACACTTGTAGAAGATTTATTAAAGTTTATAAATTATCCGTAGTAACATACTCACCCATAGGAGCATGATTAAAAGAAAACAAAGTCCTCCGATGAAAAAGTGAGGATGGATTGCAATTATTCATCATAGTTCATTAATAGGTAAGAGTTTTAGTTAAAACAAATGCAGTGTTAATTTAACTAGTATTTGTCCCGTGCGATGCACAAAAAATATATTATAAAAATATACCATATATGAGGTTTATTCATATATAAAATTTTTGTTATTTAATTATTATTATGTGTGAATTCCTATGATGAAATTATGAACATAAATATATTTACAATTAAAATAATATTTAAGGTGGGTGATTACTACAAATCTTAAACTATATTAAAAATTTAGTACATAGTATTTAATATTACAAATTTTTAAGAACTTAGTAAACTACAATAGTAATTGAATTACAATTTTAGAATCATCACGGATCAAACTTTTTAGACCTTTGAGATTTCTAACTCTAGATGTAGCAACATACAATTGACCTTCAAAGACCAAACAATCACAATCTTAGTTCGAACAATGATTTTTCCTTTCAAATACTATTGATAAGTGTGTAATCAATAAAAGATGATAACTAATAATTCGAAAATATAATATTAATGTTACTAAGTCTACTTCACGTCAATTAAGTTGGAGAGTGTTGTTGGATAGTATCCGATGAATCCACGAATAACGCATATTTGTCTCTATAGTCCTCGATATGCACATCAACAATCTTAAATATTAGGCCGCCTAGCTATGCTATATATTAATTTCAAACTTATGGACTTTGGGGTTGCACATGTGGTGTGCATGCATGCTTCTTAAAGCCATATGGTCTTGTGAAAATTAAATGTTGTTAATACCAACATTTTTAACCATCAATATCAACATTTAATTTTCACAAGACCATATGACTTTATTATAATTAAGATTAGAATATTGAACAATATTGAACAATCTTCAAGGGGCATTTCAAAAGTGGGACTATACATATTTTGCAACTAGTATTGGAAAAAATTGACTATATTATTACTTTTTTTATTTTATTTTATATATGCCGATTCATTGAATACGTGTGTATGTTATTCTGGTATCTATATATCTTGAATCAATGTTATTATAATAATTTTTTTTTTTCAAAATGATCACTGTACATATGATAAACAAATCATGTGGTTGTGCGGATTCCAAAGGTTATAATAATAAATTCGAACAAATGTTAAACCAATTAATACACGTTGAAAGTTGCAATAGTAGTCATCCAACGAATTCACAGATCTGAAAATAATCACTGTACGTATGATAAGCCATCCCTGCGACGGTGCGGATTCCAAATATTCAAATAATAAATTGAACAAATGTTAAAACAATTAATACACCTGAAAAGTTGCAATAGTAGTCATCCAATGAGTTTATAAATATGAAAATTAATAACAGTTCAAACGATGCCTTATTATTTAGGCGGAAAAATGATATGGTAAAAACATTTTACTATTATATAGAGTAAGATAAGATAAGATAATTATTGAACAATTTTTAGAACATAGGGCATTCCACATGGTCATACACTTTTAGGGGGCGTTTGGTTCAGGTTATATAACATAACCAAGGGAATGTGACATTCCAAAGCTCACATTCCTATGTTTGGTTCACATTAACTCAGGGAATCTAACATTCCCCAGGAATGTCACATTCCCTCCACATAGGATTTTGAAGGGAATGTGATTCCCTTCAATTTCTAAGGTTATGTAAGATAACCTTGGTTATGTTAGTTTATCTCTCACACACACACACACATACACACACACACACACACACATACACACACACACACACACACACACACACACACACACATATATATATATATATATATATATATATATATATATATATATATATATATAATTATTTTTGTAATTATATATTTTTTATTTTTATTATGTTAGGTTAGCATATAAAATAATTTTGTTTTTCAAGTTCAATATTTTAGTTAATATTTTAAAATCATGTAATTATATATGATACCGTTATCTTATTTATTTATTTTTAATTTTTAAATTTATTAAAATATATGAAAATATGTTAAGGATATTATAGTGTGTGAACCTTAAACCAAACATGATTATATTACATACCCCAATTTTAACTAAACACAGGAATCTCACATTCTCGGTAATCTCACATTCCGAGTAATCTAACATTCCCTAAGGTAATCTGACATTCCGTGAACCAAACGACCCCTTAGAGCATCAAATACTTCCTCTTCATAAAATCAAATGCTAACATCACATTGTCAGTTACCATCATCATCATCATTCTTATAATAACCAATACACTTTGATTTTTAGCAATAATCTCATAAAAAAAAAGTTCATTCCGATGGCCATAATCTTATAAACCACATTTATGACACGTTTAGTTCACTAGTCATTGGGGTAAACTTTGCAAAGAATGACCGGCAGTAAACAAAAATTTAGCATCTTTAATTCAGTTGAGTTATCATGATTTACATTTTCCCAGATGCTTTGTCGGACTGAAACGTGAGGACCCTTGAAATTAGGGATTCAACATTTTGAGAAGAGTAAATACCCAAAATGGTCCCTCGACTATAGCTAAATTCACAAATTGGTCCTAAACTTTCAATTTCAACCAATTAAGTCCTTAACTTTGCAATTTTGACACGATTTGGTCCTCCATCTATTTGACCATTTGTTGACCGTGATCGACGATCTCCAGAAGAACCTTCAACTCTCGTCGGAGTACGTGGAGGCCTCCAGGATGACGTTGCACCAGTTCAGAAACACGTCGTCGTCTTCGCTCTAGTACAAACTCAACTACATTGAATCCAAAGGGAGGATGAAGAAAGGCGACCGGATTTGGTAGATTGCTTTCAGCAGTGGATTCAAATGTAACAGTGCGGTCTGGAAATACAACTGGAACCTTAAAAACACGACGATGGACCATGAAATTACATATATATCCTCAAAAATCACAATCAACAAACGGTCAAATAGACAGAGGACCAAATTGTGTTAAAATTGCAAAGTTAAGAACTTAATTGGTTGAAATTAAAAGTCGAGGACCAATTTGTGAATTTAGCTATAGTGACCATTTTGGATATTTACTCTTTTGAGAAGAAGGCGTCAACTATTAAAAAAACATATTTATGAGAAAATGTTTTATCATTATTTTTTTACGTGGAGCGTAAATGATGGGTCCCTGTCCAACCAGATTTACAGCTTGGCCCTCAATGGCGATGATCAGGAACTCTCATAGTAGAGCCTCAAAAGGACTCAAGTAAATCAGAGCTTTTTATTTATTTATTTATTTATTATTATTATTACTGTCTAATTAATACTACTAATATCAATCAAATTACGGAATATTAGAGACTTAAAACAAAAAATGCACTTTTTTTTCCTTCTTCTCCATCGAAAAAGCTTTGGTCTCATCTTCGATTCAATCTTCCAACATTTATGAAACTTCTTACAAAGAAACCCTAAGAGCACTGCGAATTCAATACACGTACATATATACGTACAAAGTGAGTTAGAGAGAGAGTGAAGGGGAAGTGTGCATGAAGTGAGATGGGGGCAACGGGGTCGAAACTCGAGAAAGCGTTAGGCGACCAGTTTCCTGAAGGCGAGAGATACTTTGGTCTCGAGAATTTCGGGAATACTTGCTACTGTAACAGCGTCCTTCAGGTCCGATTCCTACGGTTTTTTAATTTCCCTGTCTGCCTCAGACTAAGACGGTGATTTCGATTTTGCATCCATGGGTACTGGCGTCAAAATTGTGTGAATTTGGTCTGGTTTTCTTCAAATTATTGGGAACCCCTAATGGAGTAAAAAATGTGTGTGTGTGTGTGTTTTTTTTAATGCACTTTTGTTTGATCTTTGTCCGATGAGGATTAAGTGATTAATGGCATTGAGGATTTTGTATGCTCTTTTGTTTGATCATATTCCCATTGAAACTTATCCGTCTCAGTTCATGTTCCTAACTAGCTTAGGGATTGGATAGGTTTCTTATTTAAAGGAATCCCATTTCATTTGTTCAATGAATACTAAGTTATTTGTTCTGTATGTGCTCTATAGATTGGAAATTTTTGGTATGTGTATGCAACTCCTAATCTGAGCGTTGCAATGCCCCCTTTTCACCAGTCTTTGGTTTTTAGAATTATTTGATTTGATTTATAAGAAATCACACTACCCAAAGTTGTATTATTGGTGATGCCCGCTTGTGGCCCTAGCCGTCAAAGGACCACACGAAGGTAAACCAATTTAGGTTGCACATAGGCGGCATAGCTTACAAGCTCAAACCAAGAAGGCCAACAAACACCCCTCGCAAGGGTCGAACTTAGAACCTTGTGGTTACCAAACCATATGTCTACCAACTCGGCTGGGGTTGCCCCTGGATTTTAGAATTGTGGTCTTTAGAAAATTGGTCATGATGGTCCTAAGTCCTCATTGCAACAACTTGTGATAGATATCCTTGTGCTCTTTGGATGTTTACCATTGTTGAATCTGACTGTAAGTGTGGTCCATTGCTCATATAATTGTATGTGTTGATGAAATAAGGACATCTTGATAAAATAAAATTGTGAGTATGGTCCATCACTCTGAATTCACATAATTTTTCTCCACTGTGTAAGTTTGATAAAATGTTTACTTAAAAATTCTTTTAAATAAAATCTCTGAAATTCTGATAGTGTGAGTAGTGGAGATCACCACACAAATTAGGTTATAGAGCTTGTTGGTTTGTTGATTAATAAGTGGTCAACTTTTTAGAACATATTTAGAAGCTATTGAAGTTGTTATTTTACATCATAGGGAATAAGTTTCCCTACTATAACTGACTATGATATGTTTGTTTAATATGGTTGGTTATGATGAATTATGTCTTTTCGGTGGTCTATTTCAATTACTTCGTATTTGTTTTGAAGAGCAAGGGTTTAATTAATTCAACCTTCTTGTTATTCACCCAATAAATAATCCCTTGCCGATAACTCTTGGTTAATGTGTGCTATAGGCTATATGATCAAGCTTTGCTCTCTTCTTTTGTTTGCATTTTAGAACATCTTGTTGACTCATGTCTTCTATTTATTCTATTTTTTTCCCCAAAAAAGTTACTTCTTTTAGATTTCAACATTACAACACTTGCTCTCATTTTGAAGTGATTATCCCGTTTTTATACAGGCTCTCTATTTTTGTGTTCCATTCCGGGAACAGCTACTGGAATACTACTCAAATAACAAAAACCCCTCTGATGCAGATGAAAATCTCTTGACATGCCTAGCCGACCTATTTATGCAGGTATATGGTTTATGGATAGGCTGACATTTCTGTGTTAATTTCATTGTCAGAGCATATAATTCTCACATAAATTTGAATTTAAGGCTTTTCCCCTGGAAGTTTTGTGATGTACTCCGTATTGTCTTTGAAAATATTCAATTTTATTTTTCATTTTGTGTACTTCAGTGAAGTGTAAGGTTTGTTCATAGCTCTTGTCTTCTACTTGTGTGGTATATATAGGACTTAGATTCTACTCTGATTATTGGATTTTTAGTTTCTTCTTATGAATTCATAGCTATAACAAAATGGTTTTCAAATGGAAGCGGGGCAGGTAGGGGCAGTATTTAAAAGTTTCTGGATATATAATCACAGATTGCAATTTTTTGGGGCAAGTTATGGAATGTTCCAATCGCATAAACAGTTCAAAGCTAGTGCATAGAGAATAGTTAAATAGTTTTTCCCAGTGATACTGTGGTAGTGTTTGCCTACTAATGTGTAGTACTAACCCTTAACTTTATCATCAATATAACCTGTGCACTGACTTCTTTATCATGGATAGTGTGTCAATATATCACTGTGATCATCAATTATCAAGTGCATGCATGTTCGCTAATGAAATGTGTTAATCACATAAACAGCACCATGCTAGGGCATAGAAACGAGTTAGATCAGTTTTTTGTAGTCATTATGTTTGTACATGTTGACTGATGTTAGTACTTAGTACTAACCTTTTACTTATTACTAATATATATCATGTGCAGATTAGCTCACAAAAGAAAAAAACAGGTGTGATTGCTCCAAAGCGCTTTGTACATAGGTTGAAGAAGCAGAATGAAATTTTCCGTAGTTATATGCATCAGGTATCCCTAAAATCTCTGGTTTAAGTTTTAAATATGTTATCAAAGTTAGTCTCATCTAAATTGCTAACAATTGTGGGAAATTCTGCATTAAACAGTAATCCTTAACCCTACCCATATAAGTTTGGAATCTTGATACTTTTTTCCCCTATTTACATGACAAATAAAACTGGGGTTAGGGACAGTTGCTAATTCTGCTAACATTTATACTTTAATAAATTAAATGTTCGAGCTCACTGAATTATCCATGGATCAAATACGACTTGTGTTTTTTCTATTAACAATTTAGATGTTCTGATGCAATTTATAACCAACAATTCCTGAAGTCCTCTGCTCATATACATTTGTTTTTCTACATAGGATGCCCATGAATTCCTTAACTATTTGCTAAATGAACTTGTTGACATACTGGAGAAAGAGTACAATGCTGCCAAAAATGAGAGAGAAACTTCATCCCCACCCGAAAAGATTGCGAATGGTCCAAAGAGTGTTCATCCCAGTGGTGCTCAAAAGGAGCCTCTTGTCACCTGGGTGCACAAAAGTTTCCAGGTACAGTTGCTTGGTTTTGTTATTGGTTTGTTTCTTGGTTCTTGCATGTTGTAAAAGAATAAATCCCTTTCAATTTCTTTTTTTAGCTACTTTATCTCAATTTCTCATCCTCTGATAATTATTTTCTTCCAGGGTATATTAACAAATGAAACAAGGTGCCTATGTTGTGAGACTGTAACAGCAAGGGATGAAACATTTTTTGATTTGAGCCTTGATATTGAACAGAACAGTTCAATAACAAGCTGCTTGAAGAATTTTAGTTCTACTGAGACACTGAATGCTGAAGACAAATTTTTTTGTGACAAGTGTTGCAGGTAATTTTTGTTTTTTCAGTATTATGTTCATTAACTGTATTAACTATAATGTAGTTATAGGTTATTTTAGAAGCAACACTGCTCCGACCTATGGCATGAAAATATGATACTCCAAGGTTGACTCAAATTGTTTATAATTTGATTTTTATATTAATTAATTTAATATTAGTAAATAAAATTTATGCATTTGAAAACTGCCTCATAATTTCTATTTAGATACAAAAGGCAGAAATTTTAAAATGGGTTCGGTTACCGAGGCTGGGCTGAAGTTATTTACAATTTAATTTTTCATAATAGTAAGTTTAAAATTTATATGTTTAGAAACTACTTTAAAAGTACTATTAAACACAAAAAATCAAAATTTAAAATTATAAGAAAATGCTAATGGACATAAGCAAAGAAGAAAGAGTTGATATGACCAATGAATAGTAAGTAGGACATATAAAATGGGACAGAGGGAGTATCAAATAAAAGAAGCAAATAAAGTAGAATCGGTTTGACCTTTAGATTGTATTATAGTAAAGATGACTGAAAGGGAGGATGTTTTTGCATGTCATTAGGGTAGAGACAGGGCAGTGAAAGTTTTGTACATTAGCTAATTATCAACTTTGTTAAGAATGCAGCTTGCAGGAGGCCCAAAAGCGAATGAAGATTAAAAAGCCACCTCATATCCTAGTAATCCATTTGAAGCGATTCAAGTATATAGAACAATTAGGCCGGTATAAGAAGTTATCATACCGTGTTGTCTTTCCTCTAGAGCTGAAGTTGACCAATACAGTTGAGGATGCAGATGCTGAATATTCGTTGTTTGCAGTGGTAGTCCATGTGGGGAGTGGACCTAATCATGGACACTACGTCAGCCTCGTCAAAAGTCACAACCATTGGTTATTCTTTGATGACGAGAATGTGGAGATGATTGACGAATCCGCTGTTCAGACATTCTTTGGATCAGCTCAAGAGTATTCTAGCAACACGGATCACGGCTACATCTTGTTCTATGAAAGAGTCGGCATTGCTAGTATCTCAAGCTGATTAGAGTATGTGAGCTGTTCTCCAATTTTGGGCATGACTTGATGTTCTGTTTTGTTCTTTGCTGCCTTCTTATCTTCACGATTTTCTAATATATACCGAGTTGGGATGGAATGTGCGAAAATATACACGTTGAGGTTGGCTCCTTGTACAGAGGTGGAGGAAGCTCACTGCCCTCTATTTTTTTTCCCAACAATAAAGGGAGAGTAGTAGTGTATGTGATGTAGTTTTCTAGACAGCTTTAGTAGGATATGGTCAACCAACTTGTGGGAAACTATTGTTTTTTTGTTCCCCTCACTAAATTCATTGCTTAATGTTGCTGTGAATGTCACAGTTGTACTCAGGCTGATAGCTTCTGCTGCATTTTATTTCTTGGCGCCGTTCTTTCGGGGCATCATTTGGTTATATCTTAATTTACAATATAACATTTTGATAACCTGTTTATGATAGCTCCCTTGTCTGATACTTTTATAGGCCTATCGTGATTGTAAGTTTTAGATCCTTTTAATGTCCTCGAAAATTTTCTATTTCTGTTCAGGATGGCTCTTGTAAATTCCATTCTTTTGAAACTTGAAAATCAGAAATTGTTATACTCTATTAAACTAAGAACGTCTGCTTATGAGTGCTTTTCTGGGGAGTTCTTTGATATGCAAAAATTGGGATGAGATTTTTAACTGTTCGGGGATGGAGTTTTTTAAAGACATCTTTCACCCTCTAATGGGCCACCACGTCCGCTCTACCTCTAGCCTACCAAGATTTCCTTCCCCTCTTAGGTCACCATACCTTCCTTCTTCCTCCATGCTTTGGGCTAACCTTCCTTATTTATCACTTATATGGGCCAAGATTTTTCCAATAAAATGAATCCCGGGGCCCATCAGAAACATTGCATTCAAATAACTAAAATATGTACAAATTTGATAATCAAAGATGATAGGAATTATCCCCTACCGAACTGTAGTCTACAGTCTACACTTGGTCGGTAACGGGCACAGTACTTGAGTAGAGTCCGACCTTGACTGCTAGTCTACTCGACCTGAATCCAAATCAAGTGCAGTCCGACTAGCTTAGCGAAGAGTGATATCAATCGGCCCGCCCCAACCACCTAAGGGCGAGCCTAAGCACCCGACCTATAACACTTAGTGCCTAAGGCCTAGTTCCCTTAGCCGAATTTGGTGGCGGCACACCCAAAGGAATCAAGAATCTTAAGACGTGGACGAGCCAACTTGAGCCTCGAACTTGCCCTATGTATGTGCTCACGTGCCATGCTTGCCGAGAGATCGAAAATTGTCCCCTCTTTCCCCTATAAATATCGCATTATAAATGCAGGGAAGGGGACTTTTGGCATTTTTCACACACTAATCTTTAGCTCAAGAACCTCTAACCAGTGTCACATCATCCGAGCTCAAAGACTTAAACCAACAAGCAGACTAAGTGAAGGAACCGTAGCAGGAACAGACCTTAGTACCGTAGAAGTAGTAGAAGCCTGTATTTACTACATCAGAAGATATTATTAGACAAAATTAAAAGCCTAAAACGAAAAATCGTAAAATCAGTATAATCAAGGAAATATTTTGATAATTTAATCCATAAATTATTAGATACTCAGTATTAAACAAGGTTGCAGTAGGCGCTAGGCGCTAGTCGGGCGGCCGGGCAGCGCCTAGCGCCTAGCGCCTAGGCGGGCACCAAAAAAATTTTAAAAAATAGTGACAGACTTGTAGTTCGACAATTTTAATGAGGTTGTTTTCAACGTTCACTCAAATAACACATCTAAATAAATGAAATAATGATAATTTATAAGTCATAATGTCATAATAATATTAAAATCAATAATTAATGAAAGACGACATCCGTCAAAATCAGACAAAATCGGACGAAATCGGTCGACTCGGCCGAGTTTGGCCGCCCAGGCCGCCTAGGCGGCCGACCGAGTTTTGGCCTATGCCTATAGGCCAAAACTCCAAGGCAAGTGGCAGCCTAGCGCCTAGGCGGCTAGGCTGCCGAGTTTTACATCACTGGTATTAAACAAAAAAACCTCAGTTTAAATGGGTATTCGAACAAGCCTTGTTACTCATCATAATCTTTACCAAGGCACCAGGCCTTGTAATTCACCTATTTAAGCATGCAAAATGAATACATTATTTTTTGTACATTGGCTAATTCATAAATACATTGATTTTGTAGTACAGTTTCATTAGCCTAGTTGATAAAGTAAATCTAGAAAATGTCTGATACATTGCAATGACTGTATAATATCAATCCAGCCAAATTAATATACCTAGTTAGAGCACATCTACGCATTTGTCAGGTAACCTATGTATAAGCCCTCACTAGTTAATTAAGTTATGCACTAAACCAGACTTATATTAAGTTTTTAATAGCACATGATTCAAGATGCTGTGGGCATGAATGTGTCGTCATTCAAGAAAGCTTCCAGTTCAATCAGGTCTTCATCAAACTCATATGTGCGGCCTGAACGTTTCAAGACCCTGTCATATTTATTCTGCGTGATGAAGATAAGCAATTTTCTTAGATTTCAAAATGAATGCCAAGTCTATCCACTGCTTAGAGCATACAAAGAGATCTAACAATTAAATTGAAACCAAAATAATTTAAATAAGACATTTTTGGACTGGAGATCTCAATAAGATTCTGTCACCTACTTTTTTTTTTTTTGAAACACTAATGATTCTTTACAAGGTAGTATCTATTCTACTATCTCAATCTTTTTCAGCTCAAAGAATCAATGCTCCCACCACTGGGGTTCGATCCTGCCACCCATTTGGAATGGTAACAGAGGTATCATCACACTACATGATAGTTGGCATTCTCTCGCCTACTTAACTAAGCCCACTCTTGACCTTTTCTGGGCACTCTCTCACTCCCACATAAATGGAGATGGAAAGAGACTCAAGGAAGTGGCACTCTCTTTGATGTATACTTAGTGGTTACTCAAAATAAAAATAACATATATACCGAATCATATTTTTCCAGTAAGAAAACAAGCATAGTTATTAGTCAAATAACTCAGAAGGTGAAAAGTTGAAGGAAATGGAGTGCAGGAAAATTATACTGTAGCAGGTATTTAGGTTTGCATCAAAACGTAATGAAGTAGGTTTACCTTAGTTTCCTGCATCTCAGAGACAACATTTAGCAGTCTTCGGTATTGATCTCTAGCCTCGGGATATTGAACCATGGATTGCACCCTGGCAAGAGCCGTCTGCAGCCTCTCCTCGGTTTGTTTTCTCCCTTCTTTAAGAAAATCATAGTCATCCTCTTGCTTAGGTTGATCTTGCATGCTGTGCCCTTCAGCAAGTGCTTCTGACTTAAACCCACGCAAGCCACTTCCTTTTCGTCTCCATCGCAAAATTACCTTCTCCAGGATTCCAACTGACCAGGTTATCTTTCTATAGTTCTTCCTCACCTGGTGTCCTCTTACATGTGCCTTTTACGCGAAAGAAAGAGCAACAACACATGTAAAAAATCAGGAGCAGAGATGAGTTAGGAAGATTATTATGATGAAATGGAAAAGAATAAAAATGTAAAAGACCAAAAAAAAAAAAAACCAAAAGTGCCTATATCCATTTTGGACCCAGAACACACCTGAATTTTAATAATTTGCTGTCGAATTAGAAGAAAATCTTTTCGTCCCTTCCAGCTGCGAAATTTGTTTTGTATGCGCATTGCAGCAACATGTAAAGGTTCATTATTTTGTCCTGCTCTGTTCTTCCTCACAGCTAGAAGTGACAGGGCACGCTCATCTGACAGTCCAACTTCACCATCACCATATTCTTTTATCTGCTTCCTCTGGAATGATTGGACTCTGAAAACTTGATGAATGCGAGCAGCTGCTTGGGTTGCATTTCGGACAGCAGCTAGTGAGTCCTTTAATGACAGTCCATAAGGCCAATCACCATCATTAACAGGAGTAGCAGCCCGTTCAGAAACCACATGGATAGCTTTTACCCCAGAGGCATCTCCATTTTTATCCTCTTTATTTTCCTTCAACTCAAGGGATGAAAGGTGGGTACTTAAGGATGCTTCTGCTAGGTAGCCAGCAATTCCTTTGTGCCCATTGCTTGATGCTAAGTCAGCAGGTGTTCTACCTGAAGGATGTTGAGGAGTGGGATCTGTCAACGCTCCTGGAGCTGCACCTAAAGCGATGAGGAAAACTACCATCCGCTCTCTGATGTAGTAAAAGAAAACAAAAGAACTTTCAGAAACAAGTCAAACACAATGAACTGCAGCATGTAAAGAAGCTAATAATAGAAAATGCTCCACAATAAAATCAGGATATCAAGTTTTGCCAAGCATGCTATTTAACACTAATTGTGTCCTTGAGTCTCTCAGTCACTTGTCTCCAAATAGGCCACCAGAGACCAAAATAGAAGACAATTGAAACAAATGACTTACTGAAGATAGGAATAATAAAAGAAACTTAATGGAATACCTCCCGCAGAATGCTGCCCAATGAAGGGCAGTCCATCCATTTACATCTCGGAAGTTAACATTAACTCCTGCAACTAAAGTTGGTGGTATAGCCCAGTCATAATCAAGAGCAGCTGCAAAATGCAGAACCCCTTGACCACTCTCATCCAGTACATTAGGGCCTTTCCCACCTACCACGACCTTTTGAAGGAGCCAAAAGCGCAATTTCTCCTTTAGAAACTTTTGGTGCAGCTGGTCCTCTGAAGTATGGGGAAACATATGTTCCCATTCACTGTTGTCCTCTTTCAGCAATGAATTGATTTTACTGGTAAGGTGAGACACATAATCCATGTTGCCTGGGACAGAGTTCTCGAAACTGACAGATTCCAAAGACAATAAATTCCCAAATCTCATATTAAGAAGACTTTCTTTATAGCTTCCACTATTTCCATTTTCAATCTCGTTAACCCGGAATTCAAATTCTCTCACTTCACTACATGCTAACCTATTGGAGCATGTGACATAGAAGGGAACCCTCCCTACCTTCTGTATAGGTGTAAGGCAACGAAGCACCCCATCTGATATAACCTCAGCTGGAACCTCCAGCTCACCAAACATGCATGCCCAATTACACTGGTCCACTTCTTGCTGAGACTTTAAGAATCTCCCAGTAATTAGAATCTGGTTATGAATAAAAAAAATCTTATTGCCAAAAAATAAAAATAAAAAGAATGAAACAAATAACATCACTTCAAAGGGGAACCATAAAGACATTCGGTCATGAATATTTAATCAGACATTAATAATCATGTAAATTGAAGTAACCCACCCACTTTCAACTAGTTTCTGATATTAATTTTAACACATTGAAAGTAGTCTTGCACCAATCAAGATAGTTCTTTGTGTTAGAATATTGGGGATGCATTGTTAGAATATGTTTTCTGTGTTAAGTCATCAGGAAGGTTTTTATTATATTGTTTTACCTATATTAAAAAAAAAAAAATTTAAAAAGGAGCTTTAT